CCCCAACGGCCCTTGAGCCCTTAAACAGTTTAGGGTTTAGGGTTTCGGGCTTAGGGGGCCCCGAGTGCGACCTCAGGGGAGGCAAGCCAGCAGTAGGCAACGTTGCCTCGTTCGCACAACAGGGGTCAGGGTTCAGGGTTCAGGGGTCAGGGTTCAGGGTTTAGGGTTTAGGGTTTAGGGTTTGGGGCTTAGGGTTTAGCTTTTTTGGGTGCTTTTTTGGCCAGCTTGAGGATAGACCGGGGCCAACCAGGACATCGTTTCGACTTTTCAGATGTTTCTTTTTGCGTCTATTTCATTACTATCGTTATTTGGGGGCTTATGATGATAAGGGACCCCTTTTCTAGACCCCCCATATAGTAGGATCCCCTTATAATAAGGACCCCAAGAAGGTACCCCAAAATATCGTAAACCCCCATTTATGTCTTGGGGGGAGGGGAGGCTGCCTCAAAGTTCAGGGTGGTTCTCACTCCCAAAACCTCTAAACCCCTTACCGAAACCCCTGCAACCCTGAAGCCCAAAAACGCCCGCCCAGAAATAAAACCCCCTTAGGCCCAAACACCCCACAGCCTTCCCAAAAACCCTTAAACCTCACCGAGAACCCTAAACCCTAAACCCTAAACCCCAAACCCCCAAACCCTAAACCCTAGGATTGAGAGCCCGCGGCCTGCCCGAGTCCACTGCAGCACGCGGCCACAGGCCATCAAGGCGGCCTGACTCCAAAAAGGAAAAGAAAGGGTTTAGGGTTTAGGGTTTAGGGTTTAGGGTTTAGGGTTTAGGGTTTAGGGTTTAGGCTTTAGGGTTTAGGGTTTAGGGTTTAGGGTTTAGGGTTTAGGGTTTAGGGTTTAGGGTTTGGGGTTTGGGGTTTAGGGTTTGGGGTTTGGGGGTTAGTGTTTAAAGTTTGGGGCTTTCAAAAAATTGGTGCGTTCAAGGGTTTCCAGGCGGTAAGAAAGGGCGTTTACGGGCTTAGTTTAGGATTTGGGTTGAAAGCTTTCGGGTAGTATTTGCAGGATTTAGGGGTTAGGGTTTAGGGTTCAGGGTTTTAGGGGACTTCGGGTTGGCGTACGGATGCGCAGCTCACAAGCTAACTGCCGCCTGGAGTCATCAAGCAAAGATGGCACAAGCGCAAACCCCCGAGGCCCCGGGCGCACGAGCCGCCTTGGCCAAAGGCATCCTGGAAGCTGTGTTTTAGGTGGGTTTGGGGCTTGGGGTTTAGGGTTTGAGGGTTGGGGTTTGGGGTTTGGGGTTTAGGGTTAAGGGTTGAGGGTTTAGGGTGTTGGGGTTTGGGTTAGGGTTTGATTTTTAGGGTTTGATTTTTAGGGCTTGAGGTGCAGGAGGTTTTGGGTTTTGGGGGCCATGCGCCTGGAAGCCCTGAACGGCGACACGGCAGCTGTTCTCCGTCGTCGCCTGGCGGGCAGATTGAACCCTAAACCCTAAACCCTAAACCTTAATCCCTACACCCTAAACCGGAAACCCTTTGGCTTGGGGTCTGGGGGACGAGGTTCAGGCAAGGAAAGGGGTATTTAGGGTTCGGGGGTCTGCCTTGGGGCGGTCACTAGGAGTGTTGAAGATCCTGAGGGTTTAGGGTTTAGGGTTTAGGGTTTAGGGTTTAGGGTTTAGGGTTTAGGGTTTAGGGTTTAGGGTTTAGGGTTTAGGGTTTAGGGTTTAGGGCTACGGACGGGTGAGCGCAGCAAAGCACAGATTTTCTGCGTCCCTCATCCAGCTTCACATCTCAAGTCCGACTCCGCGCCATCCTGGCACCCCAAAAGGGTTTAGGAAGTTTAGGGTTTGGGGTTTCGGGTTTAGGTTTAGGGTGTAAGGTTTAGGGCCCCAGGCCGCCAAACCGAAAGCTCAATCAAGACAAAATCATGGGGGGGAAATGGGGGGAAGATGGGGGGAAGGAGGAGAATCCGGCCCTCAGAGTTGTTTAAAGGTTGGGGGTGGGCGATTTGGTTGGGGATTCGGCTGAGGATTTGGGACTCTGGCGAATTCATCGTGGTTCGTCTCAGTCAAAACCCTAAACCCTAAACCGAGTTCTCAGGGTCTGTGCTCGCAACATGTGACGCTCGCCCTCTGCTTCGGCCACGGTTTAGGGTTTAGGGTTTAGGGTTTAGGGTTTAGGGTTTAGGGTGTAGGGTGTAGGGTGTAGGGTTTAGGGTTTAGGGTTTAGGGTTTAGGGTTTAGGGTTTAGGGTTCAGGGTTCAGGGTTTAGGGTTTATTCTTCAGGGTGATTATAACGTTTTTGATCTTCGCCTTGCAACAGGCGAGACCGACAGTGATCAAGTAAGTGCTCAAGGCCAGAATCAGAATGCTCCAGCAGACAAAGATGCCGACAAATAAATCCTAAATCCTAAACCCTAATCCCCAACCCCCCCCCCCCCAACCCCCAACGACAAGAAGTGTAAATGTGGACCCTTTTGGGAGGAGTTTAGGCAAGGACCGACAAAAGATCTAGAGGGTTTAGGCTTAATAAGGTTTCCTAAACCCGAAACCGGTTTAGGGTTCATTTTTCGGGCTTTAGGGTTTCGGGTTTAGAGTTTGGGGATATTGACCCCTGAAACCCAGCTCTTCGGATACTCATCTGTTGCATCTGAGTCTCATCAAGCCAGGGCATATCGCCCCAGAGTTCACCGTAGATGGCTCCTTCTGCAAATTTGCATGGCAACCCAAGAGCCTATGGCTTTGGGGTTTAGGGTTTAGGGTTTAGGGTTTAGGGTTTAGGATTAGGGGTTTAGGGTTTCATACCCCATTTCATACCCCTTCATCTTCATGTTCTCCTCCTCTTCTCCTGCAGCCTGACTAAACCCTGATCCCTGAACCCCTAAACCCTCAACTCTGACCCCGAATTAACCTCTCCAAACCCCTTGCACCTTCAGCCCCAAAGACCCTAATCCCTATAAACCCCTAATTCATCCCTCATCTCCAAGCACCGAATCCCTCAACCCCTACAGCCCTAAAGCCCTAAAGCCCTAAAGCCCTAAAGCCCTAAACCCTAAACCTCCTAGGGGGGCTATAGAAACGCCTGAACCCCTAAGCCAGGGCTCCGGGGCCCGGCTTCTGGCACAGCGCCCCCCGCAGCGCGCGGAGGGCGGCGCCGCGCGAGGCGGCGGGGACGAGGGCAAAGACCTTGATGTTTAGGGTTTAGGGTTTAGGGATTAGGGATTAGGGTTTAGGGTTTCGGGTTTAGGGGGTTGGTGGGCATTCAGCAGCCTTAAGAAAGTAACATAGGGCTTAGGATTCGTTAGGGCTTATTGGGGTTTATTAGGGTTTGGGTTTAGGGTTAACTCAGGGTGGGCATGCTTCAGTTTCGGGGGCGATTGGGGTCTAGGGTTCGTTAGGGCTTGGGGTTTAGGGTTTAGGAGGCTTAGGAGGTTTACCCTAAACGCTAATCTCTGAACCCTCAAACCCTAAACCCTAAAACCCTAAACATCCCTAGCCCCTAAACCCTAAACCCTGGGGAGTTTAGGAAGCCTAGGGCTTGTGGGGTTTCATTGAGGTAGTCCACTGTCACTAGTCGGATCACCAAGGCACCTCGGCAACGAAGCTCTGTGCAGCTGCCTGGCTGGCTTCCTTCACAGACATGCCGGTCGCCTCCAGGAATCTGCTGTTCAAGGTTCCAAGGTTTGAGGCTAAGAGTTGGGCTGAGGAGCATAGCTTGCAGAAAGGGACGGTGGAGAGTGGGCCCTAAACCCTAAACCCTAAACCCTAGACCCTAAACCCTAAACCCTAAACCCTAAACCCTAAACCCTAAACCCTAAACCCTAAACCCTAGAAAGGATGTCTGCTGCTCCCTAGCCGTGGCGGCCTGCCCAGGATTGTCAAGGCGGAGGGCCTCGGTCAGGTCGATCCATAGGAGCCGGCCAGAGGCCTGCTGAAGGACCTTCTTTGCAGTCACTTAGGGTTTAGGGTTTAGGGTTTAGGGTTTAGGGTTTAGGGTTCAGGGTTTAGGGTTTAGGGTTTAGGGATTTACCGCATGTTCTTATTGAGATTTGTTGTGCATTTTTAGTTCTGTCGGAATCCTGGAGAGGTTTTTCTTCAGCAGATGCTTGCCTATAAAGATGCCGTGCAAAATGCTAGAGCAAAAACATATGCTATATGTAAGACTATATACCATTAGATTCTCGTTTTTTATTTTTGTATATGTATGTACTGGCACATACTCTTTGAGATTCCAAGATCTTCTGATATATTCTTTCATATTCGGATATATTCCACCATAGTCTCATACACTTATTCTACGTATGAATTAATATATATATATATAGAGAGAGAGAGAGCGCGCGAGTCGGTATACATAATACATAAGCCTGAAACCCGGTGTACGTGGTTCGTGGTTCGGGTGTAGAGCCTGGAACCCCATACCTCAACAGACAAGAATGCAGTTGCTGGGGAATTTCTTGCGCGGATTTTCACAGGGGCAGGGCGAAAACATGCTGCAGCTCGCTTCAGTTGTTCAGCCCCGCGAACCACCACAAAAGTCCTAAGCCCCTTGCACTCTGGACATCGATTCTTGTGGACGCTGTCATGCTTCTGGTTTCGGGGTTTGTAGGGTTTAGGGTTTAAGAGGGTTTAGGGTTTAAGGCTTAGGGTTTCTGCAGAATCCCGGACATCATGTTTGGCATTCACCAAAACTGGCCGACGCTTGCAAGATCACGCACGCCGACTTGTTGCGTGCAGGCTGCTACTGGACACAAAACTTACTTTCTGTTGGTTGGTAGGGAATGAGGGAATGAGGTACCCTATATCCCCCTATATATACCCTTTAAAGGATGATATAGATTACCTCATTCCCCCATTCCCTGCTAACCAACAGCAAGCTTACCCAAGCAAGGGCGATGTTGCAGACGATGCCATGTGCAGAAGTCTCTTGTGGACCACGCGCTCGAATCAAGTTAGAAAAGTGATACCTCGACAAAGTATACTATAGCATAGTCTACTATAGTAGATGATATACTATGATATGATATCTTGCTATAGCAAGGGAAAAGACTGGACTAGAGTGACTAGAGCAAACCTGAATGGGCCGGGACCAACATATCTTGAAACTCTTTGGCAAGATAACGAACAACTTGGTCCTCGAGAACCCCAGACAAAAATGGTGCTTTCCGCTCATGAAGTTTCTGAAGCTTCGATTGAACAACCACGAAGTGGACCCAGTTCTCCTCCGATAGAGCAGGGAGAGAAGTCGGACATGTCGCAATCAACAAGTTCAGCAAATTCAATCGCGCAGCGTCCCCCTTGGACCAAGTGCGTGACTCAGACTCATCTTGATCCGACTCATCTGACTCCGTGCCGGAGAACCAAAACGTCGCGGGGGCTAACCCGAACAGCCTGCGATGCTTTTCTTCCAGCCTCTGAGCTTCTATCATGAATCGCCCCCGAGGTCGATCTCGGAGAGCGATCGTGAAGTTCCAAGAATGCCAGCGAGCGGTGTCCAGTTCTGACCAATGCTCTGAGTCATGGCCGATGTTTTTCACATCCCTGTTCTTTGCAAGGAGTCGTTCAAAGCCATCTACATCGAAGACCTTCCGGCGTCGTTGAGCCGCCTGTCTGCATATCAATGAGCGGAACGAGCTCGACCGCGTCACGGACAAGATGCCTTCCTCTTGGGCATCCTCGCCCAGATGGTCCTCGTCTCCGATGATGCGCTCTCCAATCGCCAGCTGCTGATCACAAGCCAACCAATCACCGAAGGTTGCCTTCTCAATGGCCTCCTTAAGCTGGCGCCCGACCCAAGCTCCATCGCAAGAGATGCTGCCCACGGGCCCGCTCAAGCCGTGCACATTCAGCATCACCATTGTGCAAGTAAGAGCAAGAGCTAAGCCTAAGCACGCGCAGGCTTCACCTAGTCTCTTTGGGCGTGAAGGGTATAATTAGTATCTCGGAGCAGAAGCTCTCAAGGGCTTTGACAAGTATACTGCACGATAAAAGAGGACCTCACATGAGAACACGATCAGTTGCGCTTTTGTGGGTGCTCTGCGCGTTCTGTAACAGGGAGCCTGTCCGCTGGAACAGCATGTGAAGTCCGGGCCGATGCGCACCAAGAGCAGGAAAATGAAGCGCGACTCTTTCGGTGAGACGCAAACCCTAAAGCCCTAAACCCTAAACCCTAAAGCCTTAAAGCCCTAAACCCTAAACCCTAAACCCTGCACCCTAAACCCCCTACCCCGTAAACCAAACCCTGAAAAACACGGAAGCAGGTGGACTCCCACAACAACAGCATTAAGTGTAGGGGGTTGAGATCTCAGGGTCACCCTGCTGTGATCTGGGAATGGTGTCGTTCTGCGCGCTATGTGGGCAGGGCTGCGGGACCGAAAGGTAAGGGTTTAGGGTTTAGGGTTTAGGGTTTAGGGTTTAGGGTTTAGGGTTTAGGGTTTACGGTTTAGGGTGTAGGGTGTAGGGTTTAGGGTTCCTTCAAACAAAGCCTAATGAAAGTCCCCCGGTGAGGTTCCCACCTTAGATGCAGTATCTCTCGGTGTGTTTACAGCGGTGTTAGGGGGGGGGGGGGAGGGCTGTCACGGGCTTTGTGGTTCCCTAACCTTCTAACCCTGAACCCTAATCCACAGGTTGTAGGACTTGGTTTGCGTGGTAACCCTGAACCCTAAATCCTAAACCCTAAACCCCAAACCCTAAACCCTAAACCCCAAACCCTGAACCCCCGTCCTGGACATCGGAGACTGCGATGCCACAGTTCAGTATCCCAGCCGCCGTGCGCATCAGAGAGGCTACGCGCTGGTCCTCCGGCGGCCCTGACAACGCCGACCTGAGCAAGAGTAGGGCTTAGGGTTTAGGGTTTAGGGTTTAGGGCTTAGGGCAATCCACAGGTGTGAAACCTTGGTTTGGGGGTGAGCTTCACTGCAGCTAAAGCTCGCGGAGGTGACTTGCGCCGCATCCTTGCTTGCTTCGAGGCAGCCAGTGGCACAAGCAGCAAATAGAGCCGCGGTTTAGGGTTTAGGGTTTAGGGTTTAGGGTTTCGGGTTTAGGGTTTAGAGTTTCGAGTTTAGGGTTTAGGGTTTCGGGTTTGGGCTTGATGGCTATATGGCTCATGGCTGTAATGCTCGATTTTTAACCTACTACCCTGCTTCAGCGAAAAACGTGGAAACGGACCTTGGCCTAAACCCTAAACCCTAAACCGTAAACCCTAAACCCTAAACCCTAAACCATCAACTTGCTGTGTGCATCGTGGAGTGCAGCATGTCTCTTCTTGCCGAGCGTCTGGCAGGAAGGGCGAGAGGAGCGCAGCTGCTCGCTTGCCTCAGCTGAGCCGATTCACTTCCAAGAAGCCCTAAGACCTAAGCGCCTTGGGGGACTAGGGTGATGTTTAGGCGTAGAGCTTAGCAGTGGAACTGTAGCTTCCTTGTGCATGTCCAGTTTATGGAGGGCTTGAGGGATATCATGCGGCACTTGACACATGGCCAAGCTCGCAGACTCCCGGAAGTCTGCCGACACAGTCGCAGGTGCAATTCCACACACCTCCAACCGCTCAGACACAGGAAGAACACACCAGTTTTCACCCGCTGGTGCTTTTACGCAGCCCCAAACCCACACTCACATGACCTCCCTGAACCCTCAAAGCCATATGCAGAAGCAGCCTGGCCTCCTCCCACATCCACCAAGCATGTCGTTACGCAGCGCCTCAGGTCCACCGCCAATGTCTCAAAGACATGATAAGGCAACTTCTTTACCGCCTTCAGGCAGCTTCTTGAACTGAAGATGCTTGCTGGGGGGGCTTCGAGAGGCTGCGGCTGAAGATTCCCAGCATGGCTCAAGCTACATATAAGCCTGGATCAGCCTAGATACTCCTGGGCTTGCTTCGGTGACGACTCGGCTTTTGGATGTGCTCTTATGCATTATCGATGCCACGAGCGTGGGTCTAAACCGCCGGCAAGCCCTCAATGCCTTGAAACCGTAAACCTTAAACCCTGAAACGCCGAAACCCTAAGAACAAACGAACAAACCCCATAAGCCTTCCGTTGCCCAGGCACACCACATCTGGTACCCCAGCCGCTTCGAGCTCTTGCAGTATGCCGCACTCATTGAGAATGGATGGCTGGGTGTTCTGCTGGCTCACCTTTCGGCTCAGAGATTGGAATGCCTAAACCGAAGACCCTATACCCTAAACCCTAAAACTTTTTGAAGGCAGCTCTTTTCAGGGCCGCCTCGCCTGAAGGCCCGATACCTCCCACAAACCCTACACCCCAAACCCCCCCCCGCCAGCTAAGTGCAGGCCAGGCACCTTCAGAACCTTGGTCTTTGTAAGAAAACTCGGGAGCACTTCTACCATGTCTGCTGGCCCACTATTTCAGATTTCACGGGGCGGATTATGATTGGGGAGAGGGCATGGGTGTAGCATCTCGTTTTATGCAGAAGCCTTAAGGCCAAAACACTCCTGGCGTGGGGAGGACGTCCTGCAGGCAAGGTGCGGAGAGGCCAGCCGCTGCCTCTCAGGGACATGAAACTTTGAAACTCAAGCTCCTGAGCGTGTCCGCGGGGGGAAAATGAGTAACACTCAGGGATGCTCAGGGTGTTCCTTCTGCCGCAACCAGTGCCGATGTCTCGAAGTTTCTCTCAAAATCCTGCAATGGCCTCTTGCGATGTGCCACATATCTTACACCTACAACCCCCACACCCTCAACTCCAAACCCAAAACACCAAACCCTAAGCAAACCCTAAACAAACCCCAAACAAACCCCAAACAAACCCCAAACCCACAGCCCGCACCCTAAACGCCAGGCCCGAATCTCAAGCTCCGACGAGCCTCCACCACGAAGGCCACACCCTGAGCCTCGGGTTCATTCTCAAAATGTTTAGGGCTTAGGGCTTAGGGCTTAGGGCTTAGCGCTTAGCGCTTAGGGCTTAGGGCTTAGGGCTTAGGGCTTAGGGCTTAGGGTAGGGTTTAGGGTTTAGGGTTTAGGGTTTAGGGTTTAGGCTTTGGGGTTTCGGGTTTCGGGTTTCGGGCTTAGGTTCAAAGACTTCTTGAAGACCCAAAGCATGACACAGTGGAGCCGAGGCCAGGTCCTGGCATGGAGTTTCAGGGATATGCTGCAGTTAGGGTCTGTTAAAAGTTTTTTTGTGGATTTCAGAGTTAATGGCGACGTTGTCAGTGTGAAAGCTTTGGAGCAGAAATGACCCAATAATTATCGCCAAACCTTCAACCCCAACAAAAATACCAGGGAGCGCCTGCACCTGCCGGCCGGCGCACGCGCAGCCGCTGGCTGCCACAAGTCAGCACCTGCCAGCGGGACGCCCCTAGACCCTAAACACCCGAAAGCCTAAAAACCCGTACACATCCTAAACCCTATACCCTGAACCCTAATAAACCCTACACCCTAAACCTGAAAGTGCATACGCCCTCAACACTGTAAACCCTAGACCCAATAGACCCTAACTCTAAACCCGATAAACCCTTCAAACCTTCAAAGCCCTATAAAGCCCTATGAAGGGCCTCTGGCAGTGTGGGAACCTCGCTGGCGGCCTCGGTGTTGGAGTTTCGGGAAACTCGGGTTATGGTTCGATCGGGGCTTCTAACGTCTATGTGTAGGGTTTGAAAGGGCTTGCAGGGTTTATAGGCTTTATAGGGTCTATCGCCTATAGGGCTGAGAAGGTTGAAAAATAAGAAGGACCCAAGGTCTTGCTGTCGTTGTTTTCTCAACAGCAACGCAGCAACACCAAAATTCTAGACCAGTCTTTGGGCTGCGGCCTGCGGAGGAGAGTTGGCTGGACTAAGTGATTGCAACCATAGCCTATTCCTTCTAACGTCTACAGCCCAAGAGCGAGAGAGCCCTAAATCTTAGACCCAAGACGCGAAACTCCGCTCTAGACCCTGAAAAGCCCTAAGCCCTAAACCCTAAACCCTAAGCAGCCTTAATCCCTAAGCCCCAAACCCTAAACCCTACTGGTAGAAGAATTCGGCAGCTCAAGGCACGCCAGCGGCGCGGCCTTCGCCAGCGGAGGCAGCAGCTCCCCAAGCCAATATGCCCGGACGCCGTTTGATCCATAGCTTGGACCTGATGAGGGTTTATAGGGTTTGTAGGGTTTATAGGGTTTATAGGGTTTATAGGGTTTATAGGGTTTATCGGGTTTATAGTTTAGGGTTCATAGGGCTCATAGGGCTCAGAGGGTTTGTACTGTCATGCCGCACTGGCTGAAGACTTGATGAGATTCCATGGCCGCTTCATGCCTCCAATACACAACTGTAAACTGTATATACAGTCCAAGCAGTCGTGGACGAAATTGCTTTCCACCTGCTTCGTCTGTCAGCGCGCCAGTCGAACGCAGGCAACATTCAACCTCGCCTTCATCATCTGTGGTCTCCAAGATGACGAGGGCATGTGTCTTCTCTTCGTCGTAGTCTGCTGGCGATATTTGCAGAAAACAGCGGAGACGCTCATTCGCTGGAAGTGCTTTGCATCAAAATGCTCCAGACGTTCCCTCAAAGTGTGCGGCGAGCCATTGCCCAAGATGATGTTGTACCTCCCTAGCAGGCGCCGCCCCCTCCCAGCGATACAATTTGAGAGTAGGGTTAAGAACAGAATCTGGACGGACAAGGAAGTGACTGAGAGAAGGGGCAGAAAACGCAGAGCACATGCAGAGCAAACGCAGCGCAAATGCAAGAGCAAATGCATACGCTTACGCAAAAGCAGAATCGAAGGCAGATGCAAGAGCAAATGCAAGCAAATGCAAGAGCAAGTGCAACAGCAAATGCAAAAGCACATGCAAGAGCAACTGCAAAAGCAGGTGCAAGAGCACATGCAAAAGCAAATGCAAGAGCAAATGCAAAAGGCAACTCAAGAGCACA